CACACACACACCCACCCACACACACACACACACACACACACACCCATCTACACACACACACACACACACTGAAGGATTCTGTTTGAAGATCTCATATTATTGTTTTGTTAGATTGTATGTGTGTGTGTGTGTGTGTGTGTGTGTGGGGGTGGGTGTTTGTGTGTGTGAGTGTGTGTGTGTCCACTGAGTGTGATGGTCATGTTCTGTCTGTCCTGCAGACTCCGATTGATCAGTTCATTTCCACACTGAAGAGCCGGGTGAAGGATGTCATGGGCCAGTAAGTCAAACTCATTCATGAGGGTTTATTTACGTAGAGTGGATTAGACATGCTCCTTTTAAAAGATGTTTCCCTGAACAATAATACTGTTAACTGACAAGTTTAGAATGTTAAATTAGAATTAGACTGGAAGGGTGTTTGTGAGCCGTTAATAAAACCAACACATGTTTTTATTAAGAAGGTGTTTATTTTTACATGCAACATCTGAATGAGGCTTGACACGGTCAGGTTGTCACACACATGATGTGAACCAAGAATAAAAGAAATCGACCAGCACAGAATATATTTCACTCAAATAATGAACAGATTAACAAAATGAAAATGTGTTTCTTCCAGCACCCAGTATGATGTAGAGCCGTCATAAAAAGTTTATAATAACTTGTGTTCAGACTTACCTCAGTCCTCAGCATAGCTCGTCTTCTGACTGTGATTTTAAAGAATCATCATGTGGACATGCTGTGGGTTAGTCTGATGAGCAGCCTCTCAACGTAGAGTCCCACAAGTTCCTTTGACGTTTACTTCTATAGTGCTTTTCACAATACATTTAATTTCAAAGCAGCTTTATAGGAGATGCATGTTTCTACATTACAGTGATGATGATCTGTTATCAGAGCTGACGGAGACAAAGTAACATCCACATGATAACGTGTGTGTTTGTGTGTGTGTGTGTGTTTGTGTGTCTCAGGATTCAGGCCAGGGTTCCTGGAGCGAAGAAGAAGTCTGAGTGAGTCTGGAGCGGCTCTGATCTCCACTCCTCATCTTCTGCTCTAACTCTGTCTCTGTCTCTGTCTGTTTTCTTCACTCTTCGGTTCGTTCATATGACCACATCTTCATGAAGTTGCTCCAACACTGATTGTGAAACACTGGTTGCAGAATAAATGAAATATTTTGTTTAATGTGAGGCTTTCAGAAAATGAAATGCACTGCAAGGCTGCTTTCTTTTTAATGAGGGAAGTTGAAGGGTGCCAGTTTTGGCTTTTCGTGGTGTTTTAGTTCATATGACTGTGATTTTACTTGATTGATCTTAGCAACTTTTCTAGACCAGAGTAGATATCAAGACATCTGAGCTCACCTGCAGGATAATCTCTGGATGAACATGTTTACACGAAGCTTCCTCAACAGAAGTTATTGTATTTAAATCTATTTATCTCTGGACCGATTCCTAAAGAGAGCAGCGTTTGCCATGCCAATAACTGAATGAAACACGTCCCGCTGTCTGAGCTCTGTGAATGCATTTTGAGATGTTAATGAGAATTAATAAAGCTTCTAGCTCGATCAGTGACCTGCTTGAGATTATTGGAGCTTGTCTGAAATGAAGGAAATTCAAGCACATGATCTGCTGTTCAGCATTATTGCAGTCATGCGTTTCACCAGTGTTATTATACTGACACTCATATACTGTTATAGTTTTTGTAGTAGTTGTGTTGGATGTTTTTGTCATTTTTATTTGTTTTTGTTTTTAAAATGACAATATAGTTTTTAGCAAGTTTTAGTTTATTTTAGTACTACAACTTAAATGAAAATGTAAAAGGTTGCTTTGACGACTAGGTGAAATAAAATATAAAAAAAAAATCTTAATCTTATTTAATTTCAGTTAATGTATATTTTAAGTAATTAATTTTTTCGAATGTTAAGTCGGACCTCTTGCCTTGTCCATATGGAGTTCCTCACAGGGAAGATGGTCCATTTATGTGCCTGTTTGTTATTTTACTTATGCACTACTATTAGACTATTACACTCTACGATTCTCAATATAATATTGAACTGTTCGGTATGACATCTATGGTTCAATACACGCTTGTGAGTTAACCCGAAGCTTCACACATCACCAGAAAACAGCTCACTTTCACATTGAAAAATAGGGTGGATAACATGCATTTGAAAAAGCAACACACATCAAAACACCTTCCGCTGTAATGACTTGCAATGAGAAGCGTTTCTAAACCTGCTGTCCAACAAAAGAGAACATCATAACCTGTTCTTACTCCGGTCCACAACATCAGTCAAGTGTTTAAAATAACTTCCTTTTGTGATCTAATGCTGCTTCTTATCACAGAATGAGGCAGAAAATATATTGTATACTGTAGAAAAAGGCTATGTCAATTAGCATTGGATTATAAATATACATAATTATTATGAAAATACCGAGATGGCTTGAAGAACACAGATAAAATGCATATTGTTGCAGTCGAGTGTTTATTGTCTTCATGTTTCATCATTCAAAACGTTTCTATCTTCTTTTAATTCAGCTAGTGATTTGCCCATTATAGGGATTTCCTCTCAAGATTCGGACCGGGTGCATTGTATGTTTTGAGCTCTCTATGCCTGTCCCAGTTTGTTACAAATAGTTTGCCATCCAATCAAGTTGCTCCTTTTGAAATGACAATCAACATACTGTATAATTGTAAAACACCAGAAAAAGAACGTGCACCATTACGACGATAAAGAATCTTGCTTTATCTGACTGTCATGATTATGCTACAAAGATGGAAGATTCCCCCGAGAAAACTAAAGGAAAAGACCCTTTCTCGCTGTTAAAGAACACACCAACAGCTAAAGGTAAGGATACAGGGACAGAAGGGAAAGAAGGTATGAATGCGGTCTTGGAAGCAATAAAGCAGCTCATTAGCTATGTTTACATGGACACTTTTTGCTTCCATCAGAATGAATTCATTCTGATTGACGAATCTGAACGTAGTGTTTACAGGAACGCTAAATAAAGTGATCGCATTCCTTCCTGCACCCAAAACCAGTCGTCTGTGGATGATAGTCTTAAACAAGGACTGGTGGACGTTGTCCTGCTCCACTTCACAGACGCTCAGTGAAAGCAGAATTTTAGAATGATGGGAAACTCATTTATGACACTTTATTCACCAGGAAGAACAGCTTGTTTTGTGTGTTATACGTCATTGTCCTTTCACTCAGATTACAAAATGAATAAACCACCCCTTACAATCCGATTGAAATTTTAATCGGATCTGTCCAGTTCAATCCGATTGATGTGTTTACATGTGGCTTTTTTATTCTGATTGTGCTCCTAGTCCTATTACGATCGGATTATTAGGGTCCATGTAAACGCAGCTACTGATAAGGCGGTTACACTGGGCACCCAGCTACAGCAGAACTCCATCATTTTAACTAACAAAGCCAAGACAGTCGAGTTCAGCGTGCCAGAAATCAAAGACTGCAAAACTCTGATACAATCTTCTGTTCGCAAAGTATCGGCTTTAAAGAAAAACAACGCAGAGTTAATGGAACATGTCTTAGAGTTTGGACGATACAAACGCCGGTGGAATCTTAGGATTCGTGGTCTAAAAGAAAAGGAAGGTGAAGACATACGTGAGGCGGTTGCTGATTTATTGGTGAAGATCTCCCCATCAGGGTCCTCGAGCATCAACCACACTGTGGACTCAGTTCATCGAAAAGGTAGACGTGACAAAAGCAAAACAAGGCACGTCATCGTTCAGTTCACTCAGAGAATACACCGAGATGCGTTGTGGAGAAAGAGCAAGGATCACGCGATCTGCAAAGAGCTTCATATCAGCTTCATCGAGGACGTCTGGAGAGCTGGCAGGGAGACCCGAACTGCAATGTGGCCAAAGATAAATCAAGCAAGAGATGCTGGGAAACGGGCGTACTGCAGATGTGGTGCTGGATACATTAACGGACAGAGAATCACTTAGGAGCACACAAGGTACAGTGGGTGTAGAAGAGTATCCTAGGTCCTTCAAGGAGAGGTGAGGTGTCCAAGTCGCAACATCTAACTACTGGGGTGCCTCAGGGCTCAGTTCTTGGACCACTTCTCTTCTCTGTCTACATGGCATCACTAGGTTCTGTCATTCAGAAACATGGCTTTTCATATCACTGCTATGCTGATGACACTCAACTCTACCTCTCATTCTATCCTGATGATCCGACGATAGCTGCTCGCATCTCAGCTTGTCTAACAGATATTTCTTGCTGGATGAAGGACCATCACCTTCAACTTAACCTTGCCAAGACAGAACTGCTTGTGGTTCCATCAAACCCACTGTTTCATCACAATTTCACCGTCCAGTTAGGCACATCAACCATAACTCCTTCAAAAACAGCCAGAAACCTTAGAGTTATGATTGTTGATCAGCTGATTTTCTCAGACCTCATTGCTAAAACTACTTGGTCCTACCAGGAAGATCAGGCCCTTTCTTTTGGAACATGCTTCACAACTCCTTGTTCAAGCTCTTGTTCTGTCCAGGCTGGACTATTGCAATGCTCTCTTGGCAGGTCTTCCAGCCACTTCTATCAAACCTTTACAATGAATCCAGAACGCGGCAGCAAGATTAATCTTTAACGAGCTGAAAAGAATGCACGTCACACATCTGTTCAACAATATGCACTGGCTACCAGTAGCTGCTCGCATTAAATTCAAGACATTAATGTTTGCCTACAAAACCACCACTGGCTCTGCACCCCTTTACCTAAATTCATTACTTCAGAATTATGTGCCTCGAGAAGCTTGCGTTCTGCAAGTGGACGTCGCTTTATTGTGCCATCCCAAAGAAGCACAAAATCACTTTCTTGCTTTTCCAGCTTTTCACAAAACTGTTCCCTCCTGGTGGAATGACCTGCCCAACTCAATCTGAGCAGCTGAGTCCTTAGCCATCTTCAAGAATCGGCTAAAAACACATCTCTTCCATCTTTATTTTACCCTCTAACTCTAGCACTCTCTATTCTAATTCTATTCTATTAAAAAATTGCCCCTTTTAGAGTTGCACTCTATTTGTTTACTAAAAAAAAACCACACTTGTTTCTCTAATCTTTTTGTATTCTATCTATTTGTTTTCTTTTTATTTATTATACAATTAACAAAAGCAAAAAAGGCCTAGCTTGCTCTATTCTTTTTCTATTCTATCTGTTTTCTTTTTTATTTATTATATGATTTAGGATAAAATCATTAAAAAAACCTTGCTACTGTCAGGATCATGGACTGTCTGTGTCATGTTTTGCCCCTGTTTCTGTTCCCTTATTTGGTCATGTTCCTGTCCTCGTTTTATTGATTAGTCAACCCATACACCTGTGTTTCGCCAATCGTCCCCTGTATTTAAATCCTAGTCTGTGCAGTCTGTCTCTGTCTGTTCTACTCGTTACGTTGATGTGTTTCTTGCTGTCTCCAGTGTTGATGTACCCTGTGTTCCATGAATTAAAGACTGTTTCGTTTATTCCTCATCTCCATCGTTCCTCGCCATCACAGATTGTGACAGAAGAACCGACAAAAAACAGTTACCTCTGTGTTTTCCCCTCTGTTTGTTTTCTCGTTCTTCTCAGTGTTTTTGTTTCCATTGTGTTTCCCTCATGGATGTCCTCCTTCGCCCGGAATTTCTCCTCCTCCTGCTGGAGCAGGGGGAGAGATTGCTTGAGGACCATACGAGACTGTTCCAGCTGCTAGCAAGCACCACCAGCTACCCGGACGACGCGCTCTGTGTGTTCTACGATGCAAGTTTATACACCGCGTGCAGAGCACCGTCGTCCTAAGATGGTCCTCGAGCGGATTTCCCTGCGTTTGTGGAGTGGATTCTGGTGAGAAATGGATTGCCTCTCATCGTCACTCCCGAGGATGATCTCGCCAGATCCGACCCAGACCCAGAGCCCAGCCCACCATCTCCCCGCTGTGCGGAGCTAAAGCCCGAGCCCACCGATGATGGATAGCCAATTCCCGCCGCGATCTATGAGCCAGCGCAATGCCGAGTGACTGAACAGAGGATTGCCCCGGACGTAGAGCTCAACTCCCATGCGGCTGAGGGTGAGCTGAGTATGGTGTGGCGAAAGTGTCAAAGAGGAGAGGGCTTCAGTCCCCGAAGAGTTACTCTTTGTCATAAACTGCTGCAGCTGCTTCAGAGTTGCTGTAGCTCTCGGTCTCCTCTCTATGGTGGCCGTGAAGTGCAAAGCAAATCACAATTCTGAAAACAAAATAACAAATTACAAACGCAAATCCAAGTCTAAAAAACAAAATAATTCAGAAAGCACAACAACAATTCAGAAAACATTATAACAAGTCAGAAAACACAACGACAAATCCGAAAACAAATTAACAAGTCAGAAAACACAACGACAAATCAGACAAACCAGAAGAGGTAGGTATAGTTTCAGACAGCGCCATTGGTTTGGGATTACTTACCGCTGACTGGATGAGACATCTGTCAATCAACGTATACAGGGAAGAACAGCAGAGTCGTGGTAGAAAGTTCGGAGATGGTATTAAAGTAGCTAAGTTTAAATGAGCTACTTTAATAGCTCATTTAAACTAATCAGTTTTTACATTTAGTTAAAAGGGGGAAGTCGTGGTCTAATGGTTAGAGAGTCGGACTCACTGTGGGTTCGAGTCTCGTACCGGCAGGGATTGTAGGTGAATG